TGTGTGTGTGTGTGTGTGTGTGTGTGTGTGTGTGTGTGTTTGTGTAAATAAAATTATTTCTGCAACTAAAACTCCAATGGAAAACAAAACATGACAATCATTTCAATGACTTACATTATAATATATTATTCTGAGTATTTTGAAAGATAATATAGGCTGGGCGTTGTTGGCACATGCCCTTAATCCCAGCACTTGGGAGACATAGGCAGGCAGATCTCTATGAATTCCAGGCCAGCCTAGTCTACAGAGCTACTTCCAGGACAGGCTCCAGAGCAATACAGAGAAACCCTGTCTCAAAAATAAAAAACAAAACTGTGGGGAGCCACAGCCCCAAGATGGCGCCTGGCTGGATGCCAGGGAGATGGAGCTTAGCTGTAAACAAGCCTTATTTGGAAGCTCTTAGTGCATCTGGTGTGCCTCCTCCTGCTGTGACCTATCCGGGATCACCAGGTAGCATGAGCTAATTGGGTAATAATCTTGCTTTTAAGGGCTTGCTGAGGGGGCTGGGAGAGGGAGAAGCTGATGTACAAGGTTCCTAGATAAACTGCTTAAAGAAGAGTCATGGTCATGTTTCTCTTGCTGGTCGAGATAGACGCAACACAAAACAAAGCAAAACACCCAATAACTAAATAAATAAAAATAAAAAATAATATAGGATGGAATCATTCAATTTGCATCCACTAAGACTTGTTTCTAGCCTTTGTTCTGTGAGATTCCTGCTATCTAAATCATATTTGGTGATGGTTCATCCATTTTTCCTGCTGAGCAGCATTATAATAAAAAAATGTATTAAAAGTTATTTATATAACACCAAATGACAGTAGTCTGATCAATTTCTATACACTTTGGTGTATATATAAAATTAGTCTAATATGGTATAAAACAGGGAATGTGATTTTTAGGGGGTTGTAAGACAAGTATGTGTCAAAGAATCTCCCATTGAATGCCAACTTTTTCCCTTTTTTTAATTAGAAAGGAAATTATTTTACATGTCAATCCCAGATCCCTCTCCCTGCCCTCCTCCCCTGCCCCCCAAACTAATACCCTACCTATCCCATAACCTTTCTGCTCCCCAGGGAGGGTGAGGCCTTCCATAGGGGTGTCTTCAAAGTCTGTCATATTCTTTGGGATAGGGCCTAGGCCAACCCCCTAGTGTCTAGGCTCAGGGAGTATCCCTCCATGTGGGATGGGCTCCTAAAGTCCATTCCTATGGTATCGAGAAGTACTGATCCACTACAAGAGGCCCCATAGTTTTCCAAGGTCTCCTCATTGACACCCACATTCAGGGGGTCTGGATCAGTCCCATGCTGGTTTCCCAGCTATCAGTCTGGGGACCAAGACTGTTAAGGTCAGCTGTTTCTGTGGGTTTCACCAGCCTGGTTTGTACCCCTTTGCTCATCAATCCTCCTTCTCTGCATCTGGATTTCAGTTCAGTTCAAGGTTTAGCTGTGGGTGTCTGCTTCTACTTCCACCAGTTGCTGGATGAAGGCTATATGATGGCATATGAATTAGTAATCAATCCCATCATCAGGAGAGGGCATTTAAGGTATCCTCTCCTTTGTTTCTTAGATTGTTAGCTGGTGTCATCTTTGTAGCTCTGCAGACATTTCCTTAGTGTCTGATTTCTCTTTGAACTTATAATGTCTCCTTCTATTATATTATCTCTTATCTTGCTTTCTTCTGTTCTTCCCCCAACTCAACCTCCCTGTCCCATCATGTCTACCTCACCCCTCTTCTTCTCCCTTTCTCATTTATGCTGGAGGGGTTGTGGAGAAAGGGGAATACTTCTCCACTGCTGGTGGGAGTGCCAAAACTTACAGCCACTTTGGAAATATGTATGGTGATTCCTCAGGTAATGGGAGTCTATCACAAGACCTAGAAATTCCACTCTTAGGCCTATACCCAAAAGATGCACATTCCTACAACAAGGACATCTGTTCAACTATGTTCATTGCAGCATTATTTGTAATAGCCAGAACCTAGAAACAACCTAGGTGCCCCTCAACTGAAGAATAGATAAAGAAAATGAGGTAGATATACACAATGGAGTACTACTCAGTGGGAAAAAAAGAAAGCAATTGAATCTTGAAATTCGCAGGCAAATAGATGGAACTAGAAGAAACCATTCTGAGCCAGGTAACCCAGTCACAAAAAGACAGGCATTGTTTGTACTGTGGATTGACCTAGATAGAGTAAAGGATTGCCAGCCTGCAGCCCAGGCTGCCGGAGAGGCTGGTAAACAAGGAGGACCCTAAGAGAGACATACATTTTCCCCTTGAGAAGGGGAAAGGGACAAAATCTCCTGAGCAAATTGGGAGCATGAGAGGTAAGTAGGTGAATGCCAATTTTTACTACTAAGTGATGAGCTATCCATCCCAATAAACACTTGAAATTAACACTGTTATTCTTTTTACCTTAGTCCTCGATTAGCAGAGTCACAGAACTGCTGTCATATATTAACTTTTTTGACTGAATGATGTATTATTTAAATTCTGTGATATGTGTGGACAGCTGGTGAGGCTTTTTCAGAAGCAGACTCCCAGGGATGTCATTGTCAGTGTCATTGCAGGTCAAATCAGTACTCAAATATCATTTTTTTTTTCAGAAGAGTTCCTTGGTATTATTACAGCTACATTTTAAGCCTTCCCAGGATTAATCTGGTATTACATGACAGTAGGATCCACAGGTATGCAGAGAATAATTATCGAAGCTGGAAAGTTCCACATATTTAATTTGCTGTGGGCCATTATTTAACAAAAGGGGAAAATATTCAATAAGGGAGAATTGTGGGCAGAATACCACAGTCACTTAGAGTACATTGAATTTCTACCTGAAAGAATAATTACAGGAATCTCTAGAGTTGGAAAGCAATTGCCTCTGATGTGAAAACAGGATGTCCACTTACACATATAGCATGTTTGGATAGACAACACATCACTGTTGTATGTTTCTGTGCTCATTTGTTGTAACTAAGAACTGAAACTAATTCTTCAAATATATAGTGCTAAGTTTTCAGTGACAAAGCTGAAGGAAAAGTACTGAGAGTTTAGACATGCCTATAGTGTTGATCTCTTACACAGTCACTGGTGACAGCATATTTGGGTCATTCTACTTTCAGTTACTTGCTCTCCTAGGTGTGTATGAAATTTAGAGAAATATAGAAGGACAGGAATAGGCTGTTTATTGAAGACAACAATTCATGTAGATGTAAGACTTTTTAATTTTTTAATATAAATAAGAAAGAAGCTTGTTTTGCATGTCAATCCCAGTTCCCTCTCCATCCCCTGCTCCCTGTCCCCCCACCAATCCCCATCCCACCCCATTTCTGCTCCCCAGGGATGGTGAGTCCTTCCACTGGGGATCTTAAAAGTCTGTCATCATTTGGAGCAGGGCGTAGACTCTCCCCCATGTGTCTAGGCTGAGAGAGTATTCTTCTATGTAGAATGGGCTCCCAAAATCCATTCATATACTAGGGATAAATACTGATTCACTACTAGAGGCCACATAGATTGCCCAGGCCTCCTAAATGATACCCACATTCAAGGGATCTGGCTCGGTCCTATGTTGGTTTCCCAGCTATCAGTCTGGGACCCATAAGATCCACATTGTTCAGGTCAGTTTTTTTCTGTGGGTTTCTAATGACTGGTCTTGATCGTTTTACTCATTACTCCTCCCTCTCTGCAACTGGATTCCAGAGTTCAGCTCAGTGTTTAGCTGTGGGTGTCTGCTTCAGCTTCCATCAGCTACTGGATGAATTCTCTAGGATGGCATATAAGGTAGTCATCAATCTCATTATGGGAGAAGGGCATTTTAGGTAGCCTTTCTGCTATTGCTGAGATTGATAGTTGGGGTCAACCTTGTAGATCTCTGAACATTTCCCTAGTGCCAGATTTCTTTTTAAACCTATAATGGCTCCCTCTATTATGGTATCTCTTTTCTTGCTCTCCTCTATTCTTCCCGCAACTCAATCTTCCTGTTTCCTCAATAGAAAAAGATTTATGACATATGTTTTCATTGCAATTATTACAAAATCAAAAATAAATGGGAAGTTTATTCGGGATCTCTATCAAATTTTATATAGGTAATGAATTTTCTAAGTGATATTACCACTTGATTTTTTAAATTTTTAGCTATTCAAGTTGAGAACTATACCAGGCAGTGGTGGCACACACCTTTAATACCAACACTTAGGAGGCAGAGACAGGCAGATCTCTGTGAGTTTGAGGCCATCCTGGTCTACATGTTAGTTTCAGGACTGCTAGGGCTGTTACACAAAGAAGCCCTGTCTCAAAAAATCAAAAAACAAACAAAGAAAAAAATTGAGAGACATGAAAATCTTTTAAATTTTATCTCCTGTTTAAGACATATACTTCAGCTTAATACCCAAATGTGTATTATAAAAATACTCTTGTCTCAGTTCACACCTATTAAATGTTATTACAAGATCAACCCAGAACATTAAAATCATGTATATTCCTATGGCTTATCCATAGTAGCACTAGATGAATACTTTTCAAGGAATTAAGATATATTCTCTTTATAAGCACTGTCTTATAATCTATAATCATTGCATGTATGTTCTTAAACCAGAAAGTACATATTCAAAGTACATGTTACCATTAAAGTTATTATTTAAAACAATCAATAATTTTATATACTATACCACAATGAAATCGTGTTTTCATTCTTTTGTTTTTTAGCATTATGTTTTATCCATAATGTAGGTAAGGGAGTAATATTCATAGTATTATCATCATATCTGTTTTTGATCCAGGGATACTGGCAGTCTACACCGAGAGGAAAAGTTGAAAAATACATAGAGCATTGTATATAGAGCAATGTCATTTAGAGGGGATTATTATAGGAACGCATTTTTAATTGGGTCTGGAAGAGGAAGAATAGATTCACCAAGGGAGTGAAGGGGCAGAGTAGAGAGGTGTTTTGCTCAGGTTGGACAATACCTGTGCTCATTGCTATTCATTTTTAATGGTTTTTTTTTCTGTTTTATTTTTAAGTTAACCCTATATTATACAAATTTATGGGTCACAATGCAATGTCAAGATTCACATGCACATCATATAACAATCAAATTATCACATTCATTACCTAAAACATTTAACATTTCTATATGGGGCAATGCTAGATATAATTGCTTATTTTGAGATATGCAGTATAAGACCCCAGTCAACTAAACTTGTACTACAAAATCAAGTTTATTCAAGTTTTTCTATTAAAAAATAAGCACAAAATAATATAAACAACAGTTAATGTGTACAAAATATATTTAAGTAAATGTTTCAAGCAGGAATCATAAAATTGCCAAAAGTGCAGTGTAAATACTCAACATCAGTATGCCCCAGGAAGTGAAAGTTACAGGCACTTTGCTGTTTATTCACCATATCTCTGACTCCTCTCTTGCACATCTTCACTTATCTGTTCATCTCAGCATCTCTGGTTACAGTTTATGCGTCTAAATCCCATCATCCTCTCTAGGTTTCTCCATTGTTTCTTTCACAGTGTGTAGGTCGGAACTTTACAATGCATATTCAAGAGTCTTTTATTCTGGGGTGCATAGATATAAACAGCTCTTCTTTACTTTCCCTTCCTTTCAAATTTATAGTATTAAAATATTAAAAAGAAAACACATATACACACAGATATGATGTGATAAAACACAGAGTAATTTTTAAAACTACAAATGATTTGTACATTGCAGTTACTAAAACGTGTTATAATTAACATTTTATTATAATAAAAAGTTATCTGAGGCTTATCTTACATCTGATTTGAGCAAACATAATCATCTGTTTATATATTTTTATTAAAATAGGTATGCTATGTGAGAATTATCTATTTAATTAAATTGCAACTCTACCTCTCAAGTGTTTTTTTGCACTTGATTTTACATCCTTGTTCCTGAGGCTGTAAATCAGGGGGTTAAGCATGGGGATCACAAGAGTATAAAACAATGAGGTCATTTTGTCTTGATCCAGGGAATAAGCAGAACTTGGCCTAAAATACATGAAGAGCATTGTTCCCTGGAAAATTGCAACAGCAGTCAGATAGGAGGTGCAGGTGGAGAAAGCTTTGAACCTCCCCTCAGCAGAATGGATCTTCAAGACTGATGAGATGATGTAACCAAAAGAGACAAGGACTCCTGAGATGGTGCTCAGCTCAATAAATCCAAATAGGGTGAATATGACTAGTTCACTGACCTCTGTGTCTAAGCAAGACAGTAATAGTAGAGGAGGGACATCACAGAAGAAATGGTTGATCTCTTTGGACCCACAGAAACACAAGCGAAATGTCAATGTTGTATGTGTCAAAGCATCTACCATTCCAACCAGATAAACCACAGCCAGGAGCTGATAGCATACCAATCTGGACATGTCTACTGCATATAGCAAGGGGTTACTGATGGCCTTGTACCTATCAAAAGCCATCACTGCCAGCAACACACACTCAGCATCTGTAAAAATGCAGAAAAGGAAGAACTGAAGAGCACAGCAAACAAATGGTATTGCTCTTGGCCACAAGGCCCACCAGCATTTTGGGGCCAACTGCAGTAGAATAGCAGATGTCAGAGAAAGAGAGGTGGCTGAGGAAAAAGTACATAGGAGTGTGAAGCTGGGGGGTCCATTCTGATCAATGCAATCATTCCAAGATTTTCAATGAGAATAATGAGATAAACAATTAGAAAAGCAGTAAATAAAATCACCTTCATTACAGGGTTATTGGTAATTCCCAAGAGAAGGAACTCAGTGGCTGAGCAGTTCCCAACCTCCATTCTTCTTTGTTTTGTAAACTGTTTCCAAATATTCAAAAGGATAAGTTAGAGATTGCTTTACATCATACAGGGTTTCCCTATGTAGCTCTGGCTGTCCTAAAACTTGTTATGTACACCATGCTGCACTTGAACTCACAGAGATTCTGCATCAGCTTCTGGAGTTCTGGGCTTAAAGATGTGCACCACACCCACTCAGGTCAATATTTCATACATATATATATATATATATATATATATGTATGCATGTGTATATATGTATGTATGTGCATATATATGACTATTTGGATTATTAATTGTATTATTATTTAGTAAAACACAATTTTAAATTACATGTACATTATCACTGTACAGTTATTTGAAGCATAATGATTTATTGATGGCTTCAGAATAAATATGAATAAATAAATCCTTTTTAAAATATATATACAAATAATAAGTGAAGTCATTTGAACACAGATAGTACTAACAGGAAGATATCATTGCCCATTAGATTGTATATTATGTTTAACTGCATGAGTCTCTCACACCTTACCCAATGACAATTCCTCAGTTTTTCTAAGAAAGCTGAATTATTTAAACACAAATAAATGATTACTAAATAAATAAGAAAGCAGGAATGAAGGAAGAAAGAAAAAAGAAAATAACATACCTGAGATGAGTGTTTCTGGTCTCATCAGTGACACATAAATAATATGTAGGTGATTTTATTTTCATTCAGAGGCTACTGGGACTTATATATATGAAAAACCTCTTCCTTTGATACACTCATTCATCAATGGTTAATTAGATTTCTTGGTGATCTTTTCCCCCAGAGATACTATGGCAACTTCAGGAAGAGTTGAAATTATGTTTTTATATATACTGTAAGAACTAATTAGCATCATTGATATACTTACTTCAGGTCAAATAAAGGTTACACAAACAACACAATTCTATTCAGCAAACACAAAAATGTTCGAATTCCAAAATGATGTATACTGTAATGTTTTTCAGGATATTACAGTAATAATCCATGGAGAGAAAATATAGTATATGTATATATATCTAGATTAAATTAAACTTTTACAGTAAGATATTGAAGTAGAAATATATTATATATAACCAAATAATATGCTAACTCCGTTCCAGTCTTCTACTTGGTTATTCCATCAGCAAAAACAAGTAATAGTATTAAGCTATAAATATCATAGCATTAGACATTTAACCCATTCATGATTGCTACAATATTCATGTAATGCTTGCCATAAGGTAGTGGTAAAGATAAAATGACATAATTTAGAGTTTTGTAACTGGAGAACTGATGAAGATTTTATTTGAATGTTAACGTTTGTATAACAAGAACATTGACTCATACACAAGTCTAGGGATTTTTAAGCCTCTATTTCATTTATAAATATTTTCAAGTAACCCACACAATGCAATATCAAACCTATAAATTCAGGGAGATAATGCTTACTATTAGACCAGTTTATATTGGACTATTTTGAAACAAGATAAATTGTATTTTATCAAAACATATGATTCATACCATGAGTCAAATATACAAAAAACATGAGATTTGCTACAAACTGAAGAACCATAACAGGCTGTCATCACAAAAATGTATTTAGAATATACAAAGAATACATAAATTCAATTTAAAATAAAGAACAGATCTCTCCTCTAATCCCAGCACTCGGGAGCAGAGGCAGGTGGATCTCTGTGAGTTCAAGGCCAGCCTGGTCTCCAGAGCGAGTGCCAAGATAGGCTCCAAAGCTACACAGAGAAACCCTCTCAAAAAACCAAAAAGAAAAAGAAAAAGAAAGAACAGATCTCATTTGTTAATTTTTTTTGAATTTTTCATTGAAATAGATTCTTCTCTCATACAATATAGCCCAACCATAGTTTTCCTTCCCTCCACTCCTCCTAGTCTCCCCTGTCCCCATTCTTCCCAAAGATCCACTTCCCCTCTGTTTCCTATTTATAAAAGCAAAGGCCTGCAAAAGGTGACATCAAAACAAGCTACAGTAAGATAGAATGAAAGCCTAAAAGTTTTGCTCATCAGTTGGTAGAATTTTGGTTTCTTACTACTTACTTCATACCCACTTTACCTAAACATATGAATTCATATAACCCTCAAAATAGTCTTTAATCATTATAAGAGAAAAAGACAGGGCAAGGCATGGAAATTTGCATACTATAATCACAGGCAGTTAACTTGCTTGCTAATGTTATGTTTCATATGAGGCTTTCGGCCATGTTGTTGATTGGCTTTGTATGAGCTATTAATTCAAAGACTATATTCTGGCAAATTCACAAAAGTGGGACATCTGAAATCTAGAACATGCTGCTTCAGTGAATGGTGCAGTATTATTTTTTCCTTAATAGAGATCAAGGTTTTTACATCTTTTCCTCTGTTTATAAGGAGAAAACCAATTGCTGAATTCACTTCTGAAAGGATCATTAGTCAGGATATCACCTACTTATATCATATTTTTGTGAGTTAAACATCTCAGGATATGGAGATACTAAATATATTTTATGAATTAACAGGCTTTTCAGACATGCTTTGGATAAAGGGGATTAGCTCAGAACTATTGCATAGATGGAAACTTATACAGCCTCTTATCTCAACCGAGTATCCTTCAGAATTACTTTGTAATGAAAGTGCAGGCATTTCTTAGGCTTCACAACTCTTCTGAATTCCATCATAATAGGGCATTATTTTTACACTGGCAGATAGAAACGTAAGACAGCCAATTTCCCCCCCCCATCAGGGTTTCTCTGTGTAGTCCTGGAACTCACTCTGTAGACCAGGGTGGCCTCGAACTTCAAGATCCGTCTGCCTCTGCCTCTAAAGGGTGGGATTAAAAAGGTGTGACACCACTGCCCAGATGACCACAATTGTTTTAAAGATTCCTATTTAATATAAAATTAATAAGTATCTTTTTATCTTACATGGCCCATTAAATATGTATCTGTAGGGAAACAATTTCTTCAGGATATTACATGTGATTACCTTGCCTGTCAACATTTCTTTGTGCAAGAAGTGAGGTTTCAACCACTCCAGAGGAACTGTTGTTATTTATTGGAATCTGAGAGGGGAGAAGTCATAGTCTTCAGAGATACAGATACCATGAAGTTTCTGTGCTCTAATCAATAAACTCCCAACAATGATCACTCATTAAGCTCTAATTAAAGTCAGAAAATCACAAGAAAAATGCCTGAGGTTATGAATGGATTTTTTGAGGAAGAAGAATTTGTTCATCGGTGGATAGAAGGCAATGAAAGATGACTATGATCACAGTACATTATAGTTATAAGGCCACATGAAATTGTCAAAGAATAAATATTTAAAAGACAGAAAATAACTTTTCATTAAGTATTCACAAACATTTCATATAATTTCTTTTTGTTTGTTTATTTGTTTCATGGGTGCTAGGGATCAAAACTTGGGTCCTCATTCTTGAACAATAAGCTCTTTACCCGTTGAGTTCCATCCAAAGTTTCCTCCTCCTTGGATTCTTATAAAAACTGGCAAAAAATGAAATCCATGCCATCCATACCTTCATCTTCTGATCTACATTTCGACTACTTTAGATTTTCTACGGTTGAAATTGTTTTTCATTTTATATTCTCTCTCTCTAGTTTTTTTCTCAAAGGAATGAGTACTCCATGAGAATGGGCATTTTTATTGAATAGTTTGATTAATTCTTTCAGAATATCATACAAGGGATCCAATACCTGACACTGCCAAAGGTCAAGTATCTTAGACTAGATAAGTCATGGGCCTAGGGAAAACATAATAACATAATAAATTGTAAGAGTTCTTAAAAGAGATTTTGTGTGAATGTTTGTGTGTGTTGCATTTGTGTGTCACTTGCTACACTTGTAAAAATTTATTGACATGTAGTACTTTTTCAAGAAATGTTATGTTAGCTAACATCAAATTTTATTTCTTCTTTGTTTTCACTTTCTGTATTCAACATATGGTGATAATGATTTTACTTCTGGACCTTGGCCAAAAAGTCTTTACATTGAAACATTAGATATATTTACTCAAGAAGGAAAATAAATTTAAATAATATTTTAAGTAGTTTATTATACACAATGATTATGATATTTAACCGAGAACAGATTTGGAGAAGAAAGGAAATCTTCCAGAAAGAAATAATTTCATCATTCAGAGCCACTTTGCCAGGGTCTTTTTAACTGGACACATTTTTTTATGATTTAACCAAACAACTTCAACATTAAATGAAATTAGAAAGATAATTATTTGTTTTATTTTTAATATTATACTCACATATTTTCTTCCTCTAACAACTTTCAACTATCCCTGTTATGTCTCTTTCAAATTCATGGCACCCTTTTCATTGATTGGTGTTACATACTTAGCTTTAAGGCCACAGATTCTGACTATGCCCATAAAGTTTTAACTACAAGACTGAATAAACATGAGGGGAACAAGGACAACAATAGACATACAAAAGGGAATGGGAAAAACTCATAGCCAAAGCTCTACACAAAAACCCACAAGCAAGTAAGGAATGTTCAGCATGGAAAAAATAGTCTTTGTGAAAAAATTGGTGTGTGAAAAAACACACCAATTAGTTATCCAGTGTCAATTGATTAGCCCTGAAATCATACCTATGAATAACATTTTTACAGACTGAGCAGTTTATATTTAGGAGTATGCATGTACAAAAAAATCCCCTTCAATTACTCTCTGCATCCTCTCCTGATGGGTCTTCATGGGCGTTAAAATGACAAGGCTTTCTTTATCTCAATGCCTATCTTTGGTTAATCTCTATGGCTGTGTATAGTAAATGTTTCTTCTCACAATCTCCCCAACATACAAATTTTAGGCTTGGTACTTGTATCTCTAAGCAGCAAAACCTACTTCTTGCACACTAATTTTAAGCATCCACATTAAATACTAGCCTACATTTCATTTATTTCAGGAGATGAGGCTGATTAAAAAATTTTCAATATATATTTTAAGGGTCTAGCTTCCAG